AGTACGTTGCAAGGAAAAGTGTTTAAACCTTAGCAATATAGATGGCGATAGACTGAAGTATGATTCTGTTGTAATGGTCGCCGCAGTGTCCTCAATGGTCGAATGACGCTTGCGCAAAGGTCGTTTGTTCAAATTGCTTCTATTAACTTAATTTAGGTAAGCAGAAGTGGGCCAAATTCTATATAGTTGAATGTTGATTATACGAGTTAAATTATAATCACACTTATTCCCAATTCGTTGGGAAGTGAAAGCTTGAGAATTTGATAAAATACGTTAGAATTTTGTTTCAATTAATAATCTTTCGGTGCCTATTATTTTATTTGTCTTCAACTGCAAACATTTTTTGAAGTGCATAATTCTATTTGGCGTTGTTAATTTTTCGAGATAGTAAAAAAAACATTACAGTCGCGACACTGTGACCGACATCTCTGCTGTTTATACAGTACTGCGATATATGTGATTTGAATTTTGTCCAACGTTATCAATAGTAGGTGGCTTGGTCTAATCTAATACAACAAATGCTCCTTCGAGGTGTTAGAAACGTCATACCATAAGTTCAGTACAACACAGACAAATTCATTGATATGCCCATCTGAATTCGTCTAATTTTTTACGGCCTTAATCTCACGGCCGAGCCGGTGGTGTCCATTGGGGCCCGCTAGCTGGCGCACGCGCAGTCGAAGTGAAAGTGAACAGCGCGCACGTACGGCCCGCAGCTCCAATAAGACGACACCGCCGTCCGCATACTTCAGCAATTATCACGAGGAAATCAGAGCCATTCCGCCGAAGGCGCCTGCCATCCTGCCCGGGAGTCAACGCCAGATCGAATATTATGTATCATTGCCAATCAGCAGCGTCCACAACCGACGACCGAAGTACGCTGTTTTCTACGCCAAACGGTCATCGAGATCTACACTTCTTTCCTACATCACATCAGATCGAATACTATGGTATCATTGCCAATCAGCCGCGTCCAAGAACGACATCGGGGGTTACGATATTTCTCTACGACAAATCATCATCGAGATCTATACTTCTGTCCTACATCAAATAAGTTCTTTACATTTAATAAATATATGACGTATTAATAAGTTCGGTTGAAACCCTGACCCCATGGCCAATTTAACATAGGTTACTGACGACCTTAGTAGTGAGTGACTGTTAGAAGGCTCTTCCAGATTTGTTTCGGTCACCACAGTTGATCTGCTGCACAGATGTATCGAAGTATTGCTTAGAACGAAACAAATACACTTTTCATTGATTTGATTTGATAAACATATTTAAGTAATTAAGTTATATTATTATTACTTATACGATTCAATTTGAGAAACATGACAAGGAGTTAAAATTAAGAATAAATGCTTCAGTTGGAGTCACAGTCAAATTGTATTTCCGAACAATCAAGAGACGAGCTGAAATGTCGAATGACGTCAGCAATACAATTAATGTCGAGCAGGCGGAAAACAAACGTCGTCATTCCGTAAATGACTTAAAAAAGAGAAACAAGTCGTTCCACAATTATTAAGAAGATTATTATGTTTCTTACACAAAATATAATTTCTAATCTCACTAATATTATAAAGGCAAAATTCATGATAGACGTTACAAATAAATAGTAACCGAAAGTATACTAATAGTTTTGATAACTTTTGAATGAATAAGTCTGCAATTGATAAAAGTATGGATAAACTTTAGATAAGGTTTCTAGTTGAGAAATCTGAGAAAGGCGTACTTAATTTTATAATGAAATTTCCAGCTATACGAATTTGGTATGAATATGAGATAAGTAAGTGCATCTGATTTATGACAGAATTTGTAGGTTTGAAATTTTATCGCGTGACGACAGTAAAACAATCGGCCCAGTATATGAGATCTTTTGAACTGGAGGCTTTATGATCAGGTCGTCCTTGTAGCGAGTGTAAACACTATTGTTTAATCACGTGGCTACTACACCCATTATAATTTGATAAAAGGTCATCACTCATTTGTACCAAAGAAGCTGCAACAAAGCCATTACTGAATACGATTACTTCCATTGAACACTTTTTTAGGCTTAAATGTTATATTTTACTAGAACAATAAACCTATTTTTCTAATCAGTAGTAAATTGGTGCTTTAGAGTTTTAGCATAACGGGAAAAATATTAAGATACAAATATTGGAATTACAATAGTAGTTTATCAAGTCCACCAATGCATTTAAATTTGGTAAATGTTTGCCTACTTACTGGTGCCAGTTAGACGGATATGAATTATAAAGCAATCACTTTATATTTACTAATGAAGGTTCTATTTGGTAGATAATAAGATAAGTTCTCTATTATGCATATAAAACTAACAGAGTTTACTGAGAAGGTTAAGTTTTTTCCACGTGAAATGTAAAATCAAATCCTGTTTTCAAGGACTGCAATAACGTTCTTTAGACCGTTGGTGAAGGTAATAAGTGTCTTGGGAGGACAACGACCTGACCGACTCAAATTGTGGCCAATGTACTTGTAATTCGATGTATAATATAGACAGAGCAGGGCACAATAGTTGTTGATGATTCATTAGATGGTGCAGACAACAATTGTTACGGTAACGTTGGTGTTGTAGCTGTGATAAAACTAAACTTTCATACTTCTGGCGAGTGTTGTGAATTAACTGGCGCAAAGGGGACAACGGCCATCGCACCTGGGAGGTGCAATGCATCCACACTAGCGACTGGAACGGTTGCTATTTTTACATCGTCCACTCTATTTTATTTACTATTCTGGTCCGCGACTCATTGAATTGTGGTTATTATGTGCAAGTTGGATACGTGCCAACAAGTCTCAAGCCCAACACACCGATACTGAGATATTCGAAGAATGATACGATAGTTTGAGAGATTCAGCAAAGAGTATCGCTAATAATTCTCGGAAGAGTTGAGTGAAAAAACCGGGCAAGTGCGAGTCGGACTCGCCCACCGAGGGTTCCGAACAAATTATGTACCTTCAATTTATTATAATATTACTTACAAATCATTCGTTTAATTTCGGCACAACTTACAAAGTACATTATAAATCGGCGTTTTCAGTATTTGTTGATTAAAAACTGCATATGGGATATCGTATACCAACATTTTAAATTCTTACTGAATAAACGATATTGAATTTTGAATTTTTTAATAAGTTTCGATTTTAGGATAGACTCCGAAACAACAATATTCTAAAATTGACTTTGACGGCACCCTAATTGTATTATATTGAACATAAAAAAAATTTTAAATATAATTATAACCCTACTCAACGAGCTCTAGACAATGATGTGCCACAGTCTGGGGTATAAAAGAAAAAAAATCCTTTCATTTATGGGAATTTTTAACTAAATATTCGGCTTTGCAAACATTCTACATAAAATACAAAAAAAATAGTTCTGTAGCCCATTCCGTTTACGATCTACGTTACGAGAAGGGAGAGAGAGAGACATACGGACGGACAGATAGCCGACAGAGTGCCAGCAATAGGATTCCGTTTTTACCCTTTGGGTACGGAACCATAAAATTACAACGCCAAGGTTGATCTTGGATTTTATAATGTAGGTAAAATTATTTGCCAAGCCCGGTGTGTGTTACGTCAGAAGTTCAGAACAGAGTTTTTCTAATAAGTTATTTTTTTGCAATTAGAAATTAGAATAGTTCATTTGGACACTGAGCAGAGTTGACGAGGTCGTTTACATACGATACGGGTAAGTGACTCTCGACGAGCAACAAGAGCCGCGACAAACCGGCAGTGAGCCGAGCGGTGGTTACAAGTAAACCGGTCGATGGCGCCGCGCTTCAGGCGCGAGAGCCGGGTATTCTCACCTTGTAAACAAAATCGTATCTTCTTTTGTTTTTTGCGATGGCAAAATAAATATGGCAACGTTACGAATTCGCCTGATGGAACAGGAAGGTGTTACGATACAAATGTGTTCCGAGTATACCTGACAAATAAAACCTAAAATTTGTTGTACCGAGTACACTGACGCTACATTGTATTTAAGGAAAAGTCAGAGCCCATGCTTTCTAGATATTGGAATTGCTTAAGGTATCGTTTCTATTTCTAACCATTGATAAACAATTAGATTGAATACATCTAATGTGACTTGACCGAAACAAATAAGCTGGGAATATTAGAGTAAAAAGTTACAATGAGTGCTCCGACTAACAGCAAAACGAAATCTGCTAAGTGGGTCATCATATAATTTCGCAAGCGTATCGAGTGCCGCAAGCGTGAACTGGTGCTAGATGCAAGTCAAGGCAAGGTGAGGCTCACTCTTGCGGTCTGACAATATAAACAGTCTTCTTCGTTGAAACGTTAGATGATAGTTAATGGACTTTCTTGGTATAACGTAACCTATATTTTTTTCGGTTCCTGAGGCCCAATCCAAGGATCCGTTATCGTTTCTTCATCGTCAAATTGTATGGAAGGAGCCAATTTGTTCTTACGACCAGTAAGGGGCGCTGCTTAGTTTCCATAGAAACATTGACGATGCGATACGATTACGGAGCTGTTAAAGTTCGTGTTTGGGCATCTGTATGGAGTGAAACCTTTTGCTAAAGATAAAGCTGCTCTGTCCATCAGTCTGTTAGCAGCAATTAATTATTTCCAAAAAACATTTCGGCCTCACAACCTAAATTCTATCATCGAGTAAACTTTGTAATGTTCTTAATTAAATGACAAACGCACAAATTCATTACAGACCATGGACTAGTTTGCGTTGGACGTAATATGCAAATTGATTGGTAAAGTGTACGTTCTTTGTTTTTCACGAGCTATATGAATAAATATTAATGAACTTAAAAAAAATACAACTTCCACGGCAGTGCCCGTTGTCGAAATCATTAGACACTTATCATTTTGGTGATGTAAAATTTGTATGCAAACGGCAAATAAAGGTCAAAATGACAGCTACAGCAACATAATCATTCTTACGATATTATGTATCTGTAGAAGTAGGTTAGTTACATTGAAATAACAAAAAATAATAAAAACCTTACCCCTTCATTTCCAGGTAGGAACTGTATTTTCGGTTTAGCCAATTTATCCTGAAACAAAAGAAAGAATTTTAGTTGAACTATGCTTATATAATTCTGTAGAATCACCTGTGAACACAAGTATACAAATTTGACATATGCCGTGGCTTGCTTCTTCATTTTCAATATTTAAGAGTAAGTAATTTCAGGCTTTTTTTCTAACATAAAAATCAAAGGAACAGAATTCTGCATTTTAGTTGGTAACATTTTACAACTGAAGAACAGATCACAAACAGTGCTGGTCAGCTATCTCCAGTTTGAGATAACCATTTCTTTTTACTATCAGTAAATAAAAGTTCAAGTGTAAGATTAAGAGTGAGTCTGTGCTCGCTATTCGTTATCAGTCACCTTGAGTGTCGTTCTAATTGGCATTTATAATGCTTCACATGATTTTTTAAAGGTTAATTATACTATTAATGTTGTTTTTGTAAAGAAATGGGGAGCAAGTCGGATTAGTCGCTCGAATAGGGATGACGACTAAATTTTTTTCGTCGTCTATATATCAGATAGATAGTAAAAAAATAAATGGACACATATTTTTTATTTTTTCACATAATCAAAACATTGCAGAGATATAATGATTTGAAATGCCGCATGACGGCACGTTTTGGTACAATTTTTACTTAAACGTGACGCGTCACGAGCCCCTCTCCCAAACTTTGACGCGCTTTATCTTTGTAACTTTTTGGTTGATTGACCAAAGAAGAAAATTCTACCTCTGGGAGTATGCCTCAGCCCAGCAATGCTGGGCTGAGGCGAGAACTAACGAATGCAGATGAGGTCGGGAATACCGGCTTCTTTAAGTCTTTATTCCATTGTGTTCTGCCACGTTCTTGTGTTAGTTCGATAATTTTTTTTTCAATCGTAATTCTAGATTTACAGATAATATCTTATAAATGGATTAGTTTTAGCAGATGACCGGCACAATGTAACGTGTAGTAATATTGACACTCCTGCTTTCTGCTTCAATAAGTCCTTAATTCAAATCGAGCCATTTGGTTTGCTGAATGCCAATGATCGCAATATATTTTTTCCCAAGTTATGGCTGTTTATAACTTGTTTATGTAAGAACTCTGCTTATTTCGGGACGAAAATAATTGTTATTTTATTTATTACTTTTCATTTATCCCCACCCCACTTAATTAATTTCTGACCGTGAATTCTAGCAGACTTGACAGGTGACCGAAACTTGATCATAACGAAAATATGAACGGTTACGCAGAAGAAAGAGCGTATTCTGTGGAGATTAGTAATGCTTATCTACGGGGCGTCATCAAAGCAATGTTGAGGGAAAATACAGAACATAGTAAAGTTAGGAGGAAAGAAGATTACAAAACATTGTATAATGAATAATGATGCATGGGTAACTCTCTATTTTTAGTATTTCCGAGGATATTACTTAATATTTCATTATGTTAACCAAAATTTTATTATCTTGCAGTTAATAATTCCGTTATGTTAATCATGTTTGGCAAACGTAAAGTATACAATAACATAAATGACGCATAAAACTACACTGGGCTTTACTGAAACTGAAGGAAAATGAATACGTCAATACGTGGTAAATAAATAAGTAAGCGACCAACAGCATGACTATCTATGAATCATTCATAACAAACGCTGCATTGTCGTACAAGGTAATTGTAAGCAGAAAACAATTATATTAAGGGCGGGTTCGGTCAAGTCGATAATTATTGTAGTACAACAATTATCCCAAGAACAGTTTATATTTTTTTAATTGTTGAAGGTTTTTTTCAAAGCTCACAAACTATAAGTCTATTAAGATTACTATCAAAATTATATTGAATTAAATCGTCATTATTATTTAAAAATATAAGCAATGTTAGGACAACTCTTTTTTGAGTCAGTAGCGAAAATTACACGAACCATCGGTGACTTAGATATTCTTCAAAAAGACCACAAAAATATTTAACTTGAGAAAAAATGGTTTAATTATTATAATTTTTTTATATTATGCCAACTGCATCTAAGCAAATCATCATGTTTCTACTAATCTTGTGACTGATGACAGCACCGGTGCGAGAGTGTTATATTGATCTCTCGATTGCCAGGCTATTTGCGTATCAGGTCCTAGGTACTAATCCTGGTACAGGTATGGTAGGTTTCTATGATCCGTATTGTGATAATTGTTTAGCTTTTCATAATATTTAATTGTGAGTAATAATAATATCCTATTTGGTAATACACAATTCCGATTGGTATATAAGGCTTAACGATTGTGATGAGTTAGGATTTAATGTACTTTATTTGCTGGCAATCATCGATTGGCAGATTTCTACAAATCTACAAAGCATAACCTAATGAAACGTCGTAATTAAACGACAAGTAGCCAAACTAGTTGGGAAACGAGTCGGGCTGGTCACAATAAGCAAGTGTCGGCAAGTCGTGGAGTTGCACAACTGGCGATGGTCGAACGCGAGAAACATAACTAGGCTGGGCGGCGGCAGCGCTGATGATGTAAACTTAAAAATTGCTTTAGTTACTTACTTAACCACAGAGCTCAATGTGAAATTCACAAAGTTGCATAGACGTCTAGACGCGGTGATGAGAGGGGATGACCCGGAACTGGTCCATGGCCATGACTTTTGAAGTTACGTTTAACTAATAATGAAATTTTGATAAATCCCATGTGTCGTACATGTTTTTCATTGTTTAAAGATGTCATTGAGTACTGAAATATGTTTCATAAACAAATCTAACAAATCGGAGATTGTAAGGTACAATCGCGAATGCGAAACCCGTTTCAGTCGGCAAGGTCACAGTTGTATTAATTTTGCTAAAAAATAATAATAAGAAAACAACTCCCACTATTCTTAATGTAAATGTAATGAAAGTTACTTGATGGCTTATGTAATACAATCCTAATGCGATTATGTAAGTTAATATCTATTGCATGAGATATATCATTGTAAAGTCTAATTTATCCGTGTTTTCGCAAAATCCCTAGGATTTTCGCGAAATTTTGTTTTATCAAATTATCTTACAATTTATACAGTGTAAGATTTGGGACCAACATAGGTTATATAGGCATGTATCCCAGGTGTTATGATATTTGAAAATGTAATTGCGGATTATCTGTTGACGTTCAAATTGCTGTAATTTGAATAAAAATCGTGTAGCCATATAATTTTTCTATATAAAAAATATACAAAAGTAATTTCGGCCTTGCGTTGAATTGCTACGTTGTACAGTGTGAGGCAATAAAATACCTGCACAAATGACCTTAGCGGAATATGCTGGTGACCTTTAAGCAAAGCAAAAAAGCTTTTACAAGCTTACGTTTTAGACTTGAGTGAAAGAAAACTATACACTTATGTAAGTACTTATTATAAATAGATCACGTACTCGAACGCTCCTGCCAGATATTTTTTTTTTATAATAATAAGGTAAATGTTCTTTAAATTTCAATGGATTGCGTGGTGTACGTATGTGTACACATCAGATCAAAATTCTGTTCTGTTTATGTATCTTCTTGATAACACTGACTTCAACTGATACGGATAGTGGCAAATGCGGGTTCGAATCCTGTCTGATGCCTGGATCGAGTGTTATTTTAATTAGATTTTAACATCTAGTAGTTAAAAGCTTAAAAAAATAAACTATAATTACTGTAATTGTTATATTATGTGAAAATATAATATTTTGTTGTTTCGTATAATAGGGAGGTTAGCGTTACAAAGGTTTGAGGCTATTTAAAGGATCGCCTTCAAAAGTTCAAGTTAATCTGACGTTTACTTAAGTAAAAAAAATCATGCACTCTCTTTGAGCGAAGGTCAGTTCAAGGTTTTACTGACGACGACTGTTCAGACAGGATAGGGCAAATATAACAACAAGAGCCTAAAGATTTAATTTGGTTAATGAGAAGTGCATTGAAATTAATGTAGGAAATATACCTACAAACTAAAAACGTAATTCTTCTCAATATATGACAGGGACAAAATGAATATAACATTATGAATAATTAATTCCTCATGTATATTGGGAATATACTATCTAGATTGCTTTCATGTCACTGTTACGAGGTGAGGTCAAAAAGTTCGCGGAATAAGAGGGAAGGAGGTTGAAATTGAACACCAAACTATTTTTCCTTTTCAATATATTCTCCCTTAACTCTAATACATTTTTCAGATCTCTCAAATAATTTGTTTATACCATCGAAAAAAAATTATTTGTCTTTGGTGTCAAAATAGACCGAAATTGCGGACTTCACTTCTTCATCATCGTCAAATTTTTTTCCACGCAGCTCTTTCTTCATTTTTGGAAATAAATAATAGTTACTGGGTGCCAAGTCTGGACTGTAGGGTGGGTGGTTCAATTGTTCGAAGCCGCATCGGTGAATGGCAGCCGTCGCAACATGGCACGTGTGAACGGGTGCATTGTCGTGCAGAAGGAGCACACCTTTTGACAGCTTTCCTCTTCTTTTTTCCTTGATGGCTTCTTTCAATCTTTCTAGTAAAGAAGTGTAGTACTGTCCCGTTATAGGCACACCACGTTCTTTATAATCGATTAGTAAAATACCTTCTGTATCCCAAAAGACAGTCGCCATGATCTTGCTAGCCGATTGTGTCACTTTGAACTTCTTTGGAGGAGGTGTGCCTTTTTTATGCCACTGCATCGACTCTTGCTTTGACTCGGGTTCATAGTGGTGAACCCAGGTTTCATCGCCAGTAACGATTCGGGCCATAACTTCTTCCTTTCTCTCTCCACAGAGCTCCAAAAACTGGCGTGAACACTCGACACGCTCGCGTTTTTGAAGTGGCATAAGCATTCTCGGAACCCATCTTGCACTGACCTTAGTCATCCCAAAATGATGACTTAGAATATTTAAAATACTTGTTTCGCATACTCCAATCATTGCTGCAAGCTGCTTCTTCTTCAACCGGGCCTTCAAGTTTTTCTACTTTTTCGACGATTTCCGGTGTGGTGGCCTCAATTGGCCTTTCGGAGCGGGGGTCGTCTTCAATGGACTCTCTTCCTTGTTTGAAAAGACC